GATCTGGGGTCGTCGCAAGATCTGAGGTTGTTGCAGCATCCGAGGTCGTTGCAGGAATCGAGGTTGTTGCAGGAGCTGAGGTCGTCACAGGATCTGAGGTTGTTGCGGCATCCGAGGTCGTCGCAGGATCTGAGGTCGTCACAAGGTCTGGGGTTGTTGCTGAATCTGGGGTCGTCGCAGGGTCCGATGTTGTCTGGGGATCGGAGGTTGTTGCAGGATCTGAGGCCGTCACAGGGTATGAGGTTACTGCTGGATTCGAGGTCGTCACAGGGTCCGAGGTTGTTGCAGGATCTAGGGTGGTTGCAGGATCCGAGGTTGTCGCAGGATCTGAGTTTGTGTCAGGATCTGAGGTCGTCAGAGGGTCCGAGGTTGTTACAGGATCTGGGGTCCTCACGGGATCTGACGTTGTGGCAGGATCCGAGGTCGTCGTAGGATCCGAAGTTGCCAAGGGTGTCGGAGAGGTCGAAGATATTGAGGATGAAGAGGTTATCGTAGGTGCCGAATCCTCTGGATTTGATGGAGGTGCCAAGTCCGGCCGAAATGTTGGTCTTAACGGAGGTGCTGTAGTTGTCGAGGTTGGCGGTCTTTCTGCGCCTCCTCCAATCCGCGGGGCCTGTTGAATGCATGTACAGATGCAGGGCTCACATGCTTCCCAAAAGGGATCATGAATGGGGCAAAATCCTTCATCCATCTGAGCCACTACTCCAAGAGATGCTACAAGCAGTGTGCTGAGTACTACAACAGTCCCAGTCATCGCGTAATTACTGATACTGTCGTTCAGAGCGCTGCCTGCCAATTCAACTGCTTTTATGCGGAGATCATGCGAAAGTTCGACAGTAAACATATGCGCATGGGGCGATTCATAAATCTTTTTGCAAACGATACATTGAACCAACGTGGGTTGGTACATGCAAGCTAAGATCCTTAAAAAAGAGAGTGTTGTATCGTAGGTTAGGTCAGTTGTGGGAGGCCGTAGAGTCGCTCAGCTCAGGTAGCTGACTCAAACACGCATGCATTCAGAGAACGCTGCCTTCTTTTTACTGGAAGCTTTGATCAATTTTCTGCGTTGGCCTCTACAAGCGATTCAGGGGAGACTGGTATAGTGTCGCCCATCGGCATGAAACGTATTCAGACCTTGTTCACATTGGCTCATAATGAGGACTCTTGTGGATGAAAAGTAGGAAAGATATGGTGGTGTAGCCCCACCTGATGGACACAGTAGTGCTGTGCTAAAGTTTAGGGCTGCGGTGAACGGTTAGGGTTAGGGGTTAGGACAACTATTTTTAAACCATACGGGGTATAACCGCGCATCTAAAATAGCTTTTCTTTTGCTTACAATTCCTTGACCTTGTCGCCTCTGCGTTCTCCGGCCCTACTTGCAAAAACCCCTATTACCACCAGTCTCGTATTACAGGCAGCTGGGGTTTATTTACCTCAGGGGGGCTACATAACCACATCTGACCCGCAAAATATTTTTTGCTTATGGGCGTCGGTTAGACTGACGTAGAATCAACCACACGCGACAACCAATAACCCGTGCAGTAGCCACCGTCACTGCCACCGGTTACCATTTTCGCCTTTTTTCCGCCTAGCACCCCTCGTCAATCGAATGCTTACGCCGCGCCTGACGACGGCTTGACGTCAACTGAAACTGTACCATATTGAAACGTATAGGAGAATTCCAGAAAATCAGTTCTGAATCAGAAAAAGCGATCGTTGGAACAAGAAGTTTATTGGTCTGACGTTTCGGAGTCTGACTTGAACATATCATCAGGAGCAATCTCAGAGTAGCGTAGTGGAGGTATAAGAAGCGCAGTTGCCATGGTACCGCACGCCTACGCCAATCAGCATAAGCTGTGCTCATCGTGAGGAACTTAGCCTCGTTGAATTTGGAGATGTGGCAGCGTCCCGTCACACGGTCCGCGATCTGGAAAATAACATAATTCCACTTCTTTGCTGCCGAATGTTCAGCCGTTTAAGTCAGGAGCTATTTCCCAACTTTTTCGAGGCATTTGCTATGTCCGTAAATGCAAGAGACTCAGCAAACGACTCCAGACGTTGGTAGGGGGCGCTCACCTTTTGTTCTTACGGAAATCACTCGTTCCGTTGTGCCTTACGGGCTCTCTCTCTCTCCCTCGAGCCCAACCAGTAGCCGCACAGCGGCGCCCGATATGGTTAGAGGCGTGGACTTCTAACTAACAGGTCACGAGGTCGAGCCTCGGGTGTTCTACACGTCGGGGTTGGGTATGACTGGCTGACGACGGCTAATAAGCCAGAAATGGACATTCCAATCTCCCTTGTCTTCGTCGGTAATAACAGACTCCAGACGTTTCCTGCCGTGACAGCGAGTCTTTTGGTCTAATGTCTGTGTGAAACTCCTATTCCGCGGGGTTTGAGAAAGCGACGAGGAGGGAGGGGCGGCAAAATTTGGAGCCGGTTAAAGTTTGTCCTTCGTCGGAATGGGCCATTTATCGTCTGACGAAGTTACGCGGGTAACCATTTGCTTTAAGCACCCTTCAAAGATATTGTTATACAACAACTCTGTCTCCTAGTTTCATACAATGCGTCTCAACACACCAGTATATCGCAATTACGCAATCGCTGTTTTGGTTGATTGGGCCCTTGCTGTTGAAGTTCAGTTCAGTCGTCTTTACAAACATCGTACTTTTTTAGCCACCACAATATTTTTGTTAGACGAGGACATTATGAAGTCTGCTATTTGTTCTCCCCCCCTCCCCATCGTGAACTGCATATCTGAGAAGATGGTACGGAGACGTTTTTTGTATGTCAGCACCCAATCCTGTTCGATGACAATGAAAGTATCACCCTCACACGGAGTCCCAAAATCTCAGTCTGTAATGTTGTAGAACCTCCTACATAACGAGTCACGAAACCGGCGAATATTGGTGCGCCTTCGCTTTTCTCCTAGATTATACTGTCGAACGTCAAGAAGGTCTTACGACAGGACTTTCGAGGTTATAAAATCTCGGCTTTTCCAAGGCGATTCTCGCATTAATAATGTATTGGCGGATTTTTGATGGCACGTGTTGACCCCACTGTGAAAAACTCGGAAACCTCAGTAAAGGCTGCCCATATCGTATAAAAACATTGCTATGATGAAGAATCCGTTTACAGCATCATCGACAAATCGATACTGGAATGGCTATTTAGCCGTCATCGGTCAGAGACTCCCAAGGCTCGAACTCGCGACCTCCAGGTTAGAGGTCAAACACCCTAACCATTGAGCCACGGGCTCGTCGCCTTTTCGGTTGCGATTGAGTAATACTAAGAGTAGTAGAGGGGCGCGCAAATATACGGCTGTTGGCGGGGGGTGAGAGAGCGTCTACAGGCACAACGGGTTCCGTAACGCGATCGGTGCCGCTCCTCTACAACTTCGCTCATTTTCACCGTCATATTTTACTTGCGTCAGTGACTTTTCCAAACTTAATGCTGCAGTCGATCGTAGATCTGGCTGGCCGGTAGGCAATGTCCTCGTTGGGCTGGATATTACTTTAGACTGAACTTCCCAGCTAAACCAGTCAGTCTGAAAAATGAGAGGTGAGATCCACACCGGTCGATGTTGGACATCATTTCGGCCTATTTGCGAAATATCTGGCGCATCGGTCGCATTCGAATCCATGGCAGGAATAGGGAGGCTTGGGTTCAGCCAGCCCTCTAGTCAGATGGGCTAAGTGACCGCACCGAAAGCCGTGAGATTAGTCACATTTAGGTCAGCTTAATCGTATTTGTCTCGCAGAAGTAAGTCGATGTCCTCGAAAACCATATTCTAGGAAACAGAAGTAAAAAGGGATGCGAAGTCATTAAATACGATGACACCCAAGTTTGCCCAAGCATTGCGTTGACGAGCTGAAAATGGTGCCTGAACAAGCGAGCAGAAATTTAAGACGTTGAAACAGCCCCCTTGCCAGTCCGTAGGTTGGAGTGCCTTTTAGAGATACAACTCGCCAAATAAAGCGCCCTAACTGTGCACATTTGCGAGACCACGGGAATCGGCACATGCCCGCCAGGGTTGTCTAAAAATCGCCCACTCGGCTCTCCAACCAACCAATCAGATTCCAGGACGAGTCAGACGTGTCCTGGCGTACGACGCTGTGAAGCCAGTCTCTTTTCGATGGATTTATAAATGACCGACCAGGCCGATGCGAGAGGTGACCGTGCGTGGACAGTGTGGGCAGGTGAAGTCGTGGCGTCGGTGTCAGTTGCGAGAAGGTGGTGGGAGCACAGGGTAATGAAGTGTGGGTGGGGTTTGTCAGGACTGTGGTCAATGCCGCTCTCGTGGATGCGCATGTGGCCGAATAGGCCCACGCGATGCGTGAAGGTGCGAGGGCTGTGTGGGCAGTGGAGACGGGTGCGGTGGGTGTAGGTTTGTGCTCCAGGCACTGGTTCGCCAGTCTCTGTGCGATGGATTCGCAAGTGACCGACCAGGCCGATGTATGAGACGAAGGTGTGGTCGCAGTTAGGGCAGCTGTACTCCTGGTCCTCACCTCTGGAGTCGGAGGCTGTTGGCGTGGGGTCTGTTATTGTGTCAGTGATGTGTGCGGTGCTGATGTGAGTGACAGCCACCGGATTGGCCCTCGCTCGGGCAGTGGAAGAGAAGGATGAGGAAGAGGAGGGGAGGAGGAGGAGGAGGGAAGTGGTGGTTCAGAAGTGTAACCAGAGTACTTTGGCAGTGGAGTGGACGAGGAAGAGGCGGGCAGAGGGACAACGGTTGATGCAGCCCGAAAGATGCAGTCCGAAGGCGTCCAATAAGTCCGATTAGTGCCCGAAATGTCCGTTGGCATTGAGGGCATGTTGGAAGCGGTTGTGCATCGGCATTGCGGAGAGAGAGCGGATGTGATTTGCATGCTTTGCGTTTCATTTTGGCGGCGGCGATGCGGTTGGCTTCGTAGATCGCAGCTCCCGTCTTCACTGTCCTCCGCCAGGTCGGTCGGTCGGTCGTGGGCGAGGGCATCCAGGCTGGTCGGGTAAATTCGCAGACGCTTCAGGGAGGACTTCAGAGTATCCTCGTATCAGCGAAGTAGGCCTCCTTGACGGCGAGAACCCGTGGCGACGTCTCTGTAGAAGACTCATTTTGGTAGTCGCTCATCGTCCATGCGCACCAGGTGGCCACTCCAACGCAGCTGCATTTGACTCAGCCTGGCGTCGATGCTGAGGATTCCCGTCCGTTCCAGGACATCTGTGTGGGGATTCGGTCCTGCCAGCTCAGACTTGGGATGCGACGAAGACAACTGAGGTTGAACAAGTTCAGTCGGCGTGCCTGCTTTGTGTGCACTGTCCAAGTCTCCGCTCCGTACAGCAGCGTCGGAAGGATGACGGCCTTGTACGTTTTCAGCTTCGTACTCAGTTGGGGACTATGATGGTTCCAAATTGTGCTTTGGACGCGGCCGAAGGCTTGACTGGCCGTCGAGATGCTGCGGGCCACTTCGTCATCGATTTTGGTGTTGCGGGAGAGGGTGCTGTCAGGTACGGGAAGTTCTCTAGCACTTGCAGCTGGGTTCCGTTCACGCTGATTTGCGGAGCGTTGGGGAGAGTGGCTGTGCTAGGCGGCGGCTGATGCATAACCGCCGTCTTCTGCGTGCTGATGACCAGACCAAAGTTCTCGCAGGCGGCGGAGAAGAGGTCCATGCTCCCTTGCATGTCCTCTTTCGAGGTGGTGTTCATGGCACAGTCGTCGGCGAAGAGAAGTTCGTGAACGGTGGTAGTGGATACGCGGGATTGGAAGTGCATCCGCCGTTGATTCAGAAGGCGACCGTCCGTCCTGTGGGCGATGCGGATCCCGGGGCATTTATCGAGGCGAGCGTCCATCAGCATGGCAGTGAACATGAGACTGAAGAGGGTAGGCGCCAGCACACAGCCCTGCTTCACTCCATTGGTCACTGCGAATGCGTCTGAGACAGCTCCGTTGTCCGTGACTCGCGCCATCATACCGTCGTGCAGCTGACGCACCATCTGAGTGAATCGCTCCGGACAGCCGAATTTCTGCATGGTCTTCCACAGTCCTTCACGATTCACCGTTTCGAAAGCTTTCGTCAGGTCCACGAAGGTAGAGAACAGGTGGATCCGCATCTCCTGGCATTTCTACCATAGTTGGCGAGTAGCGAAGATCATATCCATGGTCCCGCGATGACGGCGGAATCCGCATTGACTTCTCGGAGGAAGGCCCATTTCTAGATGATAATTCAGGCGATTTAGGATGATGCGAGCGTTGCTCCGCAAGGAGATGCCACGATGATTGTCGCAGAGATGGCGGTTCCCTTTTCGCTTGTGGAGATGCACGATGGTTGCGTCTTTGAAATCTTGCGGGACTTCACCTTGATGCAGTCAGGTGATCCATCAGTTGGGGACCTCCGTGCTTGAAGACCTCAACAGGGATTGCGTCAATCCGGGTGCTTTCCCGCCGGAGAGCTGTTGCACGGCCCTGATAGTTTCCTGGAGAGGTGGCGGGAGGTCGAGGTCCACCTTGGTCTCCACTTGCGGCAAACGGGCGATGGTGGCGTCGAAGATGGCGGAGGGGCGGTTGAGGACGCCTCGGAAGTGCTCGGCTTGTCCCTGTAGAATTTGTGTCTTCTCGGTCAGGAGTATACTGCTATCGGCGCTGAGGAGAGGGGCAGTGCCCTTCGTCGGCGGACCGTAGACAGCTTTGATCACGGAGAAAAAGTTCTTCCATTCGTTGTGGTCCGCGTACCCTTGGATCTCCTCGGCTCTGCGAGCAGTCCAGGCGTCCTGCATCTCGCGCAGTCGTTGCTGAAGGTGGCGGCGGCTGCGGTGGAAAGCAGCTCTGCTTTTGTCGGTCTACGTATGCTTGGTGCCGGCGGTTCTTCTCGGCGAGTAGGTTGCGGATGACGGCGTCGTTTTCGTCGAACCAGTCCTCGTGTTTGCGGCGTGCACGTCCGAGGACGGCTAGCGCTGTCGACTGGACCGTGTCTCGCAGTTGGCCCCATCGGTTTTCCACAAAGGCGTTCTCGGCGGCGGCGGCGGCAGCGGCAGCGATGGGAAGGTTGTCTAGCCGTTGAGCTAGCTCATTGGTGAAATGAAGATGGTGAGCAGGCAAAGAAAACACTTCAGAGATTTTGACTAGTTTTGATCATACCTGACAGGCCTTAGTATATGGCTCTGTGTTGAGGCCTTTTTCCAATGATCAGCTGTGCCCTGCTTCAGACCTGGACTTTGTGCGGCTTGTCATTGATTTTATTTCTCCACCAGGTAAACCGATTGCCCACGACCTTTGGGTATTATCGGGATCGGGTGTGACCCTGAGCAGTGTAGAGTATGGGGGTAATTGTTACTGATCAGAACAGAACAAGAACCTCCTGTTTTGTCTTACCTCTCCGGTACGGTGGTCTCACAGTCGAGCACACAGCGCCGACCGATCAACATTCACAAAGTGCTTCCGATGAAGACAACCGTTTAGCAAGCGGACATTATACAGGTACATGCCGGGAGGAGATAAAGACAGTTTTTTCGAGATAAATGCCCCTCCACCAACTCTCTAATCGCCCAACTGAGGGGAAGTAGACTGGCGAATTGTCTAAAGGCGGACAGGGTCATTCCAGCTGCCGGATGAACGGACCGGGGTGCTAGGAAGGAGGATTGTTGCTGACTATGAGGCTTAGATCTAAGTACTATGGCGTGCGAACAGATAGTGTGAGTGCCCGGTGTTTCTTTAGAGCACCTTTTGTGGCTCCCTTTTCCGCGAAGGGTGAACACTGCTTTTCCGAAATAGGGCAGCTTAAAAATTACAGACGACTGCTGACATCCACTGTGGGCCACGGCTCTGTTTAATGGAGGACGAACCGATTTGGTTTGCTACCCAAATGGGATCGCCTGTCGCCCTTTCTTTGCGGCACACACAACACCCTCATCTGGTTCAGCCCTCCGGTTGAAGCGGTTACCGGCTGTGAGTTTTGCATTAACAAGTCACGGTATACTTGTGAATGACGGGAATGCATGTCGTTTTTTCTCTCTTAGACTTCTTGGAGTGGAAGGGGAGAGGAAGCGAATGTGGACAGAACAGCCTGGCGCAGGGACCGGATACCCTTATTCGGTTTAGCTTGCCGGTCGAGGTGGTAACGGGGGGGGGGTGTGGCGGCTAGACCGAGCCCACTTTTTCGGAGTTTGGTGCCGGTCAAGAAATGTTCGGAGTAGTCATCGCATACATATCTACACGCTTTCTCCCTCGCTGAACACCGCACAGGCGTCTATGGCAACAGTCAAGGACTCAATGGTAGTGGCGCTCACTAGTTCCGTTGTGTTATTACCGACAAAAACAAGAGAGACTGGAATAGCCATTTCTGGCTTATTAGCCGTCGTCAGCCAGCCATACCCAAGCCCGAAGTGTGGAACACCCGAGCCTCGAACTCGCGACCTGTTGGTTTAGAAGTCAACGCCTCTACTCACCGGGCCAAGAGCCCGTTGCCTTGTCGGTTTTCGATCGGGAATATATAATGCTAGGGGGCGCTTACCGATCGTTCATACGGAACTCACTCGTTCCGTTGTGCCTTAAGGGCTCTCTCTCGAGCCCAACCACCAGCCGTACAGCGGCGCATGATATATAGGCCGAATGGCATTACCATGCATTGTATATTCCCGATCGGAACCAACAAGGCAAGGGGCTCGTGGCCCAGTGGTTAGAGGCGTTGACCTCTAAATAACAGGTCGCGAGTTCGAGCCTCGGGTGTTCCACACTTCGGGCTTGGGTATGGCTGGCTGACGACGGCTAACAAGCCAGAAATAGCCATTCCAGTCTCCCTTGTCTTTGTCGATAATGCCATTCTGCCTATATATCATGCGCCGCTTTGCGGCTGCTGGTTGGGCTCGAGAGAGAGTCCATAAGGCACAACGCAACTAGTGAGTTCCTTAAGAACGATCGGTGAGCGCCCACTACCATTGTATATTCCCGATCGAAACCGATAAGGCAACGGGCTCTTGGCCCAGTGGTTAGATGCGTTGACTTCTAAATAACAGGTCGCGAGTTCGGGCCTCGGGTTTTCCACACTTCGGGCTTGGGAATGGCTGGCTGACGACGGCTAGCAAGCCAGAAATGGCCATTCAAGTCTCCCTTGTCTTTGTCGGTAATGCCATTCAGTCAAGGACTCACCTAACTCAGCGAAGTTTCTCTAGGTACTGTTTAGCAGCTTATAAGTAGGACACATGCAGTTCTAAGTTTATGCCATTGGAAATCCCCACTAGGAGTTCAGCATCATTGGACGTGAAAGTACGACGGAGACACGAGCCCTTAGTGTCACCAAGCTCCCCAAACCTCCCTTTCTGCTTTTGTACGCATTTCCGGAAATGAACTACGGCTCAATCTCTCGTTTATAAGCGGCTCGACGCTAGCAAGACAAAGTTCTCCAGCTGGAAGCAAGATGGCATATTTGCATTTCGACATTCTTCTCATTCAAATCCGGTAGACCTATACGATACAAACTACGTCAAGTAGATCAGGCTGATGCGAGCATTACTTTGACGGTAAATATGGAGATCAACATATGTCGGTCAAACTGGAGCCAAGTCATCAAGACGCAGGACAAAGGAAAAGAGGAGCGTTTTATGAAGTTATAATTTTTCTGACAAATGACCTTCTAAGCTCATAAGGGGAAAGTCTCGCCCTCCCACTGGCTTACTATTACGACTTCTAGGGGGTAGCGTTTTCCGCAGCTGTTTTCGTGGCTGCCGAAGGTGATTTGGTGGTCGTCGAAGATGTTGTAGACGCTGTCGAAGATGTTGAAGACGCTGTCGAAGATGTTGTAGGTGCTGTCGAAGATGTTGTAGATGCTGTCGAAGATGTTGTAGGTGCTGTCGAAGATGTTGTAGACGCTGTCGAAGATGTTGAAGACGCTGTCAAAGATGTTGTAGGTGCTGTCGAAGATGTTGTAGATGCTGTCGAAGATGTTGTAGATGCTGTCGAAGATGTTGTAGATGCTGTCGAAGATGATGTAGATGCTGTCGAAGATGTTGTAGATGCTGTCGAAGATGCTGTAGAAGATGTCGTTCTGGTTGTCGAAGATGTCAAAGAGGATGTCGGGGCTGCCGTGGTGATGGTCGTCTCGGGAACCAGCTGCAGGCATGTGCAACTGCAGGGCTTGCAAGACTCTCTAGAGGACCCCTGATAGTCTCCAAAATATTCGTCCATATGACCCCTGGCGTTGAAACCGGTTGCAAGGAGTGTACAGAGAAGTAGGATAGGTAGGCGCATATTGCCGGCGCATGTCTTGTTAACCGCTCTTATATATACTGCACAAACAAGGATCCAACAGTAAACATATGCAAGAAACAAGGTTCATAAATCTGGTCACAAACGATACAACTGGCGAGTCCATTCGGGTTAACCTCCTCGAAGTTGACTGCCTTGTGCCTCAATAGAGGGGGCGTTTTGAGAAGTCTTATAGCTACGCATTCTCAGCGGTTCATGTGATTGGCTCCAGAAAACTTATAGCTAGGCACTACTGTCTACTGTGTAAAAAGCGATTTGCGAATTGATGAGCATCCTTCCCAGCTGCTTTCATAGAGAAACTCGTCAATAAATAATAATACTGCTTGTAAAGAAGATGAACACACGATCTCTGAGACAGTAGGTACATATTAGTCTGAGCTTTCGGCCTCGTACAGGAGGCCATCGTCAGAAACCGTGAGAATGCGACATCAAATGAGCGGTTTTTGTAGTCAAGCCACGAAGGGGGGGGGGGGGAAGATATGAGTGCGGAGGGTGGTATTCGCGATAATTTGAGTCCCGCGCCGTCTCACGCTGGCGTGACTGCGTGCACCCTTGGCTGGGAATTGGGTCTCGCCTCTTGGCCGCGGGAACGGAGCGCGTGATAACAGGGGGGTATGCCAACTTGCCTGTTGATAGAGTTGGTGTCAGACACCCAGGCCTCTAACAGTTCTCGTCCTGTCTAATTGTTTGTCCGCTCTACTATCCGCATGCTCGCGAAGTTGAATTCGTGGCCTTCCTCCAGGGTGTGAGTGGCGATCTGAGACAACGGGTCGCCTCTCCGGACCGCCCGTTTGTGCTCCGTTATTCGGGAGCTAAGTCGTCGTCCGGTCTGTCCTGTGTAGTGGAGAGGGCAGTCCCGACATGGGGTCTGATAGACGACACCCGACTGTTCTCCCACGTCTGGGCGATCCTTCACTCGCCTGATTTTGCTGCGCATGGCCGCTGTTGGACGGTGAGCGATACCCACGAAGAGCTCTGCAGCGATACGTTCTATGGCTTCGGACACGTTCTTTCTATCACGCGCCCCGTTCCCGCAGCCAGGAGGCGAGACCCAATTCCCAGCCAAGGGTGCACGCAGTCACGCCAGCGTGAGACGGCGCGGGACTCAAATTATCGCGAATACCACCCTCC